ATATATATATATATCAGTACGTAGTCGTGCCGGTAAAGGCCCACGCATGCGACGACGACGACGACGACGAGCATTATAGCACGGATTGGGTCTCTAAGGGCCTTAGGGCCTTTTGTGTTTCGAGGTTGCAGACCACAGGCAGGTTCGAAGTTCGAGTGCGTTTAGGGTAGAGGATTAAGGGCCTTAAGCTTATAAGGGTCTCGAGGGCCGGTGTTTGCACTATAAGCGCTAAGTTTTTGCAATTAAGTTCAGAGTTCCGACCATGGAATGGCTAGGGTTGACAACTACTGTGGGCTTCGAGTTTCGTCTGGCTTCATGGTCCAGGGTGAATGGCTTAGCTTCGGAGAGTTGCAGATTCGAGGGATCGCAGAACTGTGGGCTGGGCGTTGGTGACTCGGTTCGGGAAGCACTTCAGCTTGCTGTATCAGAGCTCGAGGTCTGCAGAATCAACCCCTACTCAGCCCCTGGAAAGCCCCGAATTCTAAACCCTATGGAATCCTGAAATCCTAAACCCTTAAGCTAGCAAACCCCTAAGCCCCTAAACCCCTAAACATCAAACATAATTATAACATACACCCGCCCAGTCAAACCACACCCCGTACAGCTTTAAGGACTCCAGCCTGGAAGCCCCTGATGCATCACGGAACACCCTGAAAAGTCGTCCTCTAAAACTCGGGGTTCTTAGTATAGGATTAATGAATTCGGCTCAAGGCAATTGCCAGGAGCTCTGTCTCCGGAATTGGAAGGAGGTCTGGTGGGAGATTTGATCGAGCTTGCGAAGCTGGAAACTTGCCGATGCAACAGTTATGCCTAAGCTTCGGCTTGAACCAAGGCATTGCAAATATTTCCTGTGGACGCTGCAAGGCTTAGCACCTCCCTCGAAAGTGCTATGCTAGCTATAACCATTCGTCCCAGTTTTCCGGCCATCTGCGACGACGTGCTGTGCCACAGCAGCACGAAAGCCCCAAGGCTTGAGCCTGTAAGCATACGCATAGTGTCCCGGGCCCATAAATTACATGTAGCTTGTACATGCGGCTCAACCACTTGAAGCTCTAGTGCTGCACCTTGAGTCTCAAGAGATATCTGGTGAGACATCGAAACTCGAGGAGCTCTTTCGGCACAGCCTGGACCAATCCCTTCCAGAAGCCAATGAAATCTTCGTCCACGAAGCTGTGGAAATGACGACAGTTCAGAAGGTTTCTTAATTGGTCCTCGCTGAGATGTCTCAGCGTGTGATGCTTTGGTACCGCCTTCCATCGAGGTACCTGCCGTCGCTGAGAGATTAATGCCAGACCTTCCCAGAGACGCAAAAATCCAGAAATGGCATCAGCCATGATCTGCGCCTCCGACGGCGTCAGGTATCGTGACGCTCTCTCCATCTGATCCATGAATGCCGCAATAGAATTTGTGCAGGCAAATGCCATCGAGACTTCTTTGCGCAACAATGGATCAACGTCGTCCGCAATGGTCTCACGTACTCGACGAAGCACAACATGGAAATAAGCGGTCATCAATCTTGAATTCCAAGCTTTTAAGTCCAGACGGGGAAAGGTTCCCCCCTCCCATGACAGGAGTCCTCCGGTCATCATAGCTTGCGAGTGCCTTCAGGGATGCTGCGGAATCAGCCCTGGATGTGGATCAGGGGTTTTGGATACACATTCTGCAACTAACCGGTGGCTTTATTGCCGGCAATACCGGTGCCCCGAGTTGGAAAAAAAGGGATTTAGGGTCTTGGGGTTTGGATCAGGGCAGGCATCGGGTTCATTTATTAAATATAACTATTATAATAAGAGCCCCCCATATTGAATGAAAGCAGCACCACTGCTGTATGTGCTTGTCCTCGAACGTGATAGGCTGTGAGCGAAGCTAGAGCAACGAACCTGTCTAAAAAAACACATATAGCCACCAAGCTTCGACAAGCCGTTCGCAGACGCCCAGGCTTTGAACCTATTGCAAAGCGTCACCATCTTTTCTGTCAGATCAGCAGAAGCCCCAAGCCATCCTCAGTATGCAACCGTCGTGTCAACATGGATTAGCCTTATGGCTAGGCGCTTAGGATCGCATCCTTAAAGATGATATATAGACTCAGCTTCCGAGCTCGTCGAGAAGTGTGAATATAGAGCCGTTCAAAAGCTGCAACACCCCCAGGTGCAGGGTATGCATACAGCATGTTTTGATGAACTCCGGCCGGAATCCATCGGTCAGCACGAGAGGGTTGGCCGGTCGACTCAGGGCGTTATAGCACCAAACGTAACCCCACACTATACCCCAATGCTCTAATTATTCGTATTTGCGAAAAGCGCTTCAGCAAATTTGGACGGGCGCCTCATCCCATGCATCAGCACGTCACCAGCCTGCCGCCTTTCGAAGGTGTGGTCCAGAGAGTTTTTCCACCTCCATCACCCCAAACCCTATAGAACCCTAAACCCTAAAACCTAAACCCTGCTATAACCCTAAACCCCGGTCTATCGATATATCGGGTCTATACGTACTATTCGATATAAGCTTAAGCTATAGCTAAGGCACGAATTCGGACCACGGGACTGAGCCTTGCAGATGTGGCATATAGAAACCGCCTGCCAGCTAAAACGTAGCCGCATAAATTCTTTGTGCCACTTCCAATCCCCCCTCATCTCCAGCAAGAAATGCTTGCCACCTTCCGGCGAGACTGGAGTGGCTGCTAAAACTTAGCTACTTAAGGCTTTAAACAAACCCTAAGACCCAAAGATGCTACAGCTATGGCTGCGCTTTGCTCCCACAAGTCGGAGGCCTGATATGGGGGTGCCTGGGGCATATCGTCCACGATAAGGGTTCCCTTGGTGATCGGTGGAGGGGTGAAATCCTGTAGCCAATGCATTGAAAGACCATGTAATGACTTCCAGGGCCGGATGCAAGCTTTCGTAGCCCACACTGATGAACTCCCGCAAGTTCAGTAGCGGGTACCGATGTTGAGAATGTCCTAAGCTTAATGTTTTGAGGACTATATAAACCGCTTAGTACTAGTTCTAGATCTTAAATCCAAGCCACTCTATTGAAAATTATTGTTCAAGATTCTGTCGGCATCCCGAGCAAGCAGAAAGTTGCAGGTTACCAGCACCACCTTGTCCCCAGGTTTGTTGTACCTTCCGTCGTCTCCATGCAATCCTAACGGCATAGAGCCCCGGCCGGGGTGCACACAAGCCCACGGTTCGTGGGCCTCAAGATGAGACCAATACTCATTCACAGCCGCCTGGGTGATATTCACTTTTCCAGACTCCTTAGATCGATGTCGAGTAGCTACACCTAGGCCTTGTGACCTAAACCCTAAAACCTAAACCCTAAACCTATAGTGCCCTAAACTCTAAGCCAAGGCTCGTGCAGATAATGAATAAGTTCATGTGGATACAGGATCGGAAGATTCATCATTGTACGTTCTCGGCGGTTGGCGGCAGCCAGAACAGGTATCTGCACATAATGAATATCCTGAGTTCGAGCTTTGAGACGAGTGAGGGTTTAGGGTTTGCGGTCTAGCGGGTTAAGATTAAACCCTCAGGCCAAGCATCCACTGGTAGTTCCAAGCATCTCATGATGTCACGTTCCTTAGGTGCTGCGAGGGTTCAGGTAATCGTAGCATGCACTATAGCTAGTAGTAGTACTGGTGCATCCGAAATTCCACGTTCCCCGGATACTTGCCAGAGCATCCCGCCCGGGCAAACATCCGGGTCATTTCGCTGCAGTGTCCTCGGGACTCCTTGACCATTGCGGCCGCGGCTTTCTGCAATTCCGCAGTCGATGTAGCCTCGGATGGACCAGTACCGAAATCTTCGAAACAAAATCTCCCAACCCTGAGGGTGACTCTCAAACCCTGGCAGTAGTAGTAGCAGTAGTAG